CTGCCAGCCAACGTTTTGACGGCACAGTTGTGGCAAGTGTGTGGAGAGCGGGGGAGGCAGAAGGGTGGGGAGACAAGGGGATGGAGAGCGGGGAAGGCAGAAGGGCGGAAGAGCACGAGAGTAGCAGCAGCCGCCAGCCAACATTTTGATGGCACAGTTGTGGCAACTGTGTGGAGAGCAGGGGTTGCAGAAGGGCGGAAGAGCACGAGAGTAGCAGCCGCCGCCAGCCAACGTTTTGACGGCACAATTGTGGCATGATTTAATAATTGCTTATGGAATTTGACAGCGCGGGTGTTGGTGGAGTTTGTTTATTCATTGCATGCTGGTTGTTGCTTCTGTGTTGTAATTTGTAACAGCTGATGGCGCCAAACAAGAGTACGAGTCGCACGCCTGCGAAAACGACGAGCTTGAACGATTGTTCTAACAGTGGGGCAAACTCCACGAAGAAACGAAAACAACCTGAGGTATCTGCCGCTCTTGCTGTCTCGGTAAGTTGCATCGCTAATGCCTCGATCCCATTGCCTTTTTTTTCCCTTCATTTTTCTCTTTTCTTCTTCGTGTAGATGCCACTGCCATCTGGGTAGATAGAGTTGTGGAAAAAAGGAAAAAAGAAAAAAGGAAAAGGGAAAAGGGAAAAAGGAAAAAAAAAAGATGTCTCAAGTTCTCTCAACCATCAACCTAATAGGTCCAACAGGTGTATGGATTTGTTAACTTGCAAAATGCTATAGAATAGGGCTGACCCCCTGCAACCCCGCCCCCCCCCCAAAAAAAAAGAAAAGAAATAAAAAGAAAAAAAAAATGAACAGAAAAGAAACAATGAAACCTGGCATTGCCACCCGTTTCACACCCGGACACGGGATAGAAAAATAATGAAACCTGGCATTGCCAGTCTGAAAGCAAACCAATGCAAAACCGAACAGACTGAAATCAGACTCAAGGAGCGGATTCGCACACTAGGACTTTCTTGGACGTATCTGGCCGCAATCTCAGCCCATCCTGGTATATATATGGGTATGGTTACGTCCCAAAATCATTGTGAAAAGTCATAGTGCGAGCCACAGAAGTCCGTCCCTCTAGTACCATAATAAGCGGAAAAAAAAAAGAAAAGTTAGCTAATCAGAGTGATAATAGAAATCTATAGGTTTTGCAAATATATATATTCCATCTGGTGTGGGTGAGTGATAGTCTACTTTGATTTTGGTTAAGGTAGATTATCATTTACTGTGTAATCAGTGAGGGGATTCTGCAGACTGTTGAGGGTGCAGCCTCCTGATGAGTCGGTGAAACTCCAACGAAACAGTTTGTCACAGCCCCTCGTTTGTTGTCCTCTTCTCTCTCTCTGCCTACGGTTTACCGGGCAGTTATGTTTGTGACGATATATAGTCAAACAGAGCTGCCCGGTAAACTGTAGGCAGAGAGGGAGGGAGAAGGGAGAAGAGGACAACAAACGAGGAGGGGAGGGGCTGTGGCAAACTGTTCCGTCGGAGTTTCACCGACTGACTCATCAGGAGGCTGAAACCTCAACAGTCTGGAGAATCCCCTAACTGGTTACACTGTAAGTGATAATCCACCTTAACCCCGGCTGTGGTTAAGCATCAACGACTGCCCGACAACTGATACCCTGAGGTGGGCAGCAATCACTGCCCTCAACGTACCTGTGGCAAAAGTCAAAGCAGACTATCACTCACCCACACCAGATGGAAAACTCTACAGGCTGTCGGTTCACACCCCATCACAAGCAAGCAAAACACCCATGAATATATATATATATATATTTGACGATATATATATATATATTATATTATATATATATATAGAACTGCCCGGTAAACCGTGAAACTCCGACGAAACAGTTTGTCACAGCCCCTCGTTTGTTGTCCTCTTCTCTCTCTCTGCCTACGGTTTTACCGGGCAGTTCTGTTTGTGACGATATATATATTATATATATAGGCGGACTTGCTGTTAATAAATCATCAGTCACATTGCAGCATGGATATCCATCACAGGGTCAAATTGAAAATTGCGGAAAGGAAAATGGAAGACGAGAAAATTCAAAATTCTATACATCGCCGAGCATGCATATTACAAGGCAAACGATGAAGAAGTGCAAATGCTTTGCTGTGTGCTTTTGACGTAAAGATGATAAATTTATGGATCTGTGTTCTCATAGAGACTGAGGGCATACTGTCCTGCGAGGACCCTTTTGAATCAGCTCTGGACGTAATTACGGTCAGATACATCCTCGCCTGACGGCAATTGCGGCCAGATACATCCAAGACAGTCCTACTGTCTTTACCTGAATAGAATGCCTGGTCATTATAGCTGTGTATTTGGCTGGGCTACCAGCCAGGACGCCTGGGTTCCCTCAGAAGACTGGCCCAGGTGACCTGGGCGGGCCCGGTCTGGGCAAAAACCCAATCAAGGTCCCAGACAGCACCAGCACAAAAGAAGGTGAAAAAATAATAATAAAAATCTGGAATAAAACTTTGTCGTGTAGTTACAAATTGAACAAGTTTTGGCTGAGTACCCACCGGAAAGTCCTTACGAAAATTGGGAAAAAAAAAGCAAGAAATTTGAAGAAAAGTTAGAAAACAAATTATCTATAGTAAAAAAAAAATTAAAAATCACACCCCTTGAGGCCCCTTAAAGCCCCTTTAACCCCCTTCGAACCCCGCTTATAAGCCATAGAGTCCTAGACACCCATCGGTGGGACATCACCAAATTCAAAGCTAAGGCTGCGTTAGGGCACATCTCAGTGGGCCCTATAAGGTTGACCCGGGTCGCCCGGCGGGCCAACCTGGGCCATCATAAATGGGTTGGAGGTTTTTTAACCAATTGGTCCATTGGAAGCAGATTTTTCATGTACAAGCGCATTTTCAACACTGGTAGACCTAATGCGCTTGTACATGAAAAATGTGGTTCCACTTCTAGTCTATAGGTACAGCAGTGTTGCAAATATGCTTCGGGTGAAAATAGGTATTTGGTTCAAAATAGGTATTTGGTTCAACTTCTAGTCTATAGGTACAGCGGCAGCAGTAATGACTTGGCATTCGATTCCGGGGAAGACGGCAGTGAGAATATGCCCTGAGCGATGGTGGTCACTTTTTTGCTACTAATCAGTCGATCTGCATGTGGTCGTGACTTGTGCTGCGCTGCCTTTTTTTTGTCGTTTTCTTTTTCACTGACTTGTGCTTTCTGATCGGTGTGATTGTGTGATATGCAGGGTAAGAAGAAGAAATAAGGTGCTGGCCTGCAATTGGCAGATTTTTTTTTTCTCTTCTTTTTTCGAGGAGTCTTCTCTGCTTTTTTCAAGGAATCTTCCCCGCTTTTCTCGAGGAATCTTCTTGATCACTTCGACAAGCGGTGGATGGAAAAAAGAGTGCCTGTTTCGGTGCATTGCAGGCGCAACGGGAGCCATCTTTACCTATGTGTAGTTGAGATCATTGTAACATCAAATGCCTGTGTACCAATAAGGGATACCCCCGCCCTGTGATTGTAGAACCTCCCATCAGGGGCTGGCCAGCAATGAAAATTCCTCCTTTTCTTTTTTCCTTTCCTTAGCTTCCTGATCAAAATGAAACCTCATTGGCAATCGAGCGACTCACTTGTCTCTCTCTCTCTCTCTCTCTCTCTCTCTCTCTCTCTCTCTCTCTCTCTCTCTCTCTCTCCATCGACACCATCTAATTACCACTGACTTTGGTTGTACTCTTGCCACCTCCTGTCTGTAGTTTGGAGAGTCGAATTTTGTTGGGCCGTTGTGCTTGTGAACTCCTGTAGACGTCTAAGGTGTACTCGCACTCGGACTCCTGCCGTGATTGTGGTTAGATTCTTCTGTATCCAAGGCCACAAAGTGGGCGATGTTGTAGTCTGGCCATAATTACGTCCAGATGCATCATGGAAAGTGCTAGTGTGAGTATGTGCTTGGCCAGTTCATGCTCTCCTTCTTTACTACAGGGGGTATCGAAAAGGAAGCACAGGGATGCGAAGAGCTTCTCGTTATTTCAGTCTGGGGCTGTCGAGTGGCGGTCGGTCCTCGATGCGTGCATTCACCGAACGAGGAGCCTAGGGCAAGCGAGAGGTAAGAGGTACAGTGAAGCTTGTGTCCAGTTTGTTCAATTTTTGCTGTGGGAGGAGGTGATCTGGCTGCTAAGTGTTCAAGTTCAGTTTCTTGTGTCTGGGGTTCGGTGAGAGCCTGGCGGCCCTGGCCCATTGAGTTCGGTTTCGGTACCCTAACCCGATCCTTTGTCATAGTTATGAGATTAAGCAGCGGTCAGTTTCTGTAGTATATCTATTCTGACTTGCCGTAAAAGTTTCGGTTGAAGAGCTCTTGAGAGAAACTGTCCGCAAGGAAACAGGATTATCTTGTTTTTCTTTTTCCTTTTTAAGGCAAAGCCCTTTCCCAAGTCCACTATCCTTATGGTGGTGGTATGAGAACCGCTGGGATTGAGGCCTTGGTTAGTGGGATGCTCCATATATTGGTGGGAAGCGACACCTGCTGGAAATTGGGTCCTGCGTCCCTTGGAATCAGCATTAGGGGACAGTGTGTATGGGCTATAAACATGATTATCGGAGTATCTAATGGTCATCCCAAACGGTTGTACAGTGTGAGCAGAGACTTCTACAGTGCACATCGACGCTCTGGCTCTGAAGATGTGCGGGTCTGGACATTAACCAGGGTGGTTATGAACCCTGGTACTGGTCTTAACTGTGGATCCAACGGAATCCCCCAACCACGGCCACCCGTCCCCCTCGCCCCTTAATGGAGGATGGTGGTCTTGGGATGACGTGTTCTTTCACCTTCTTGGAGGGTGCTATGAATGGCTGGTTTTGGAACCTTGAACCGGGCGGGATACTAAGGAAAAAGCAGGAGGAGGGGGAGGAGGAGGAGGAGGAGGAAGATTTGTACGTGCGATGATTTATCCGTCAGTGTGCAGGATTTCTTGCGAGAAGATCGCTTTCACCGTCTGGGCTCTTGAGGAGTGGAGAATTCCTTTGTTCTGAGGAGATATGAAGTTCTGGAGGTTCGGGTGATTGGGTTGGAGGTTCGTAGAAAGAGGTTTCGTGCACGTTCAATTGATGATGACTTCATGTGCTCAGAATTCTTTCACGAAAACACAGATAGGAACCAATGCGTGCGGAGAGCCTTTCTGCAGCTTGCGATTATCTTTAAAGAGTCACTTTTTGGTGTGAACCTCAACTGGAATCCGGTTGCAGATGCCTAGTCCTTGTGCTTTGTATCTTCCTTGTGCAAGTGGAATGCGGCAGCATTCTGTTGTTGTTGTTGTTGTTGTTATTGTTGTTGTTGTTGTTGTCGTTGGTGGTGGTGGTGGTGGTGGTGGTGGTGGTGTGTGTGCGTAAGAGAGAGAGAGAGAGAGAGAGAGAGAGAGAGAGAGAGAGAGAGAGAGAGAGAGAGAGAGAGAGAGAGAGAGAGAGAGAGAG